CCCTGCGTGCCCCTTGGACCCTACGCCAGTGTGCACTCTGTCCTACATACACCCTGGGACTCTGTGAGGACCGGGCATGCCCCGCGTGTGCCCTGGGACCCTGTGTGGGTTGGGCATGCCCTGCTTGCCCCTGGGACCCTATATCAGTGTGCACTCTGCCCCCCGTGGCCCTGGGACTCTGTGAGGGCCAGGCATGCCCTGCGTGTGCCCTGGGACCCCGTGTCAGTGTGCACTCTGTCCTGTGAGCCCTGGGGCCGTGTCAGTGTTTATGTATCCTGCACAGGGCCACTAGGACATGTGTGACACCCCAGGAGCACTCCCCCCCACTGTCCTGCACTCTCTGTGCCCAGAAGGCTAGCTGCCTCTACTCCAAGAGTTTTGGGGCGCCCCCTCCTGGCTATGTTTTGGCATACAATAGGCACTGTCTCTTGCCAAAACCAGTGCTTCCCCAAACTACACATCAACACAGAAAAGAGCTCGTAAGCGCCATGTCCACAGCCAGTCATACTGCACACCCTGCACCAGGCCCACACCTACCTGCTTCTTGTGGCTGCCACGCAGGAAGGACCTGGGGACACCATTCCTGCATTCCGAGTCACTCTGTTCCTCGTAGCTCTCGAACTCACTTGAGCTCCACCCGTATTCCACAGAGCTGTTTCCTCCTTGCTCTCCATTCTCAACATCATCATAAACCATTTCATCTGAGTGCACAAATTCCAGGATGAAATTAGAACTCAAAGGCAGAGCTCACTGCCTCCTCTGCCGTCTGAACTACCCCAGGGCTGGAGCAGTGTGCCCCGGTACAGAGGAGCGCCTGCTTCCATGCACAGGCGTGGGGCGCCTCAGGAGGCTGTCCAGGTGCACCCAAGGAGCCCCATCCGCTGCCCAGGACCGCTGGCCCAGCTGCACCACGCATGGTACCAATGTTTGTTTGCAAGAGCGAGCTCTCCATGAAGGAACTCTCACTGGGTGAGACAGGTAGCTAGATAGATGGCGAGCAGACAGGTGGAGAGTAGCTGGGTGCTGAGACAGTGGGAGGTCGCTAGGTGACAGCAGGGGGCTGGGCAAGGAACAGTACCAAACAGCCAGCTAGCCTGGCACAGAGGGGCTAAGGAGGCAAAGTTGCTTCAGACAATGATATATTTCCTTTTCTGCTAAAACTGGTCTAATAAAATGTCTAAAGCCCCACTAGAGTATTGAATGACCTTGTCACATCCGTCAGAACGCTCAAGAACACAGCATAGCCGTGCCCCCAAAGGATGACAAAGGCCTTTATTAAAGTCTTTGTTTCAAAGGCCGGGGTGGGCCACCTCCTCGGCTCATGGTTCACACTGAAAAGTGGGGCACACTGGGCTGCCGCGCCTGACTCCAGCCTCCACACTGAACAGAGACTGCCTGATGCCCACGCACCCGCGTCTCCTGCACACAGGCGGCCCCGGGCAGGCGAGCGACCCTGCCCGCTGGGAAATGTGCAGCACAGCAAGACACACACAGCGCGCTCTGTCCCTGCACTGCAGCCTGGCGACAGCACTGTGGAGGCTAAAGATGGCGCTCCTCCAGCTCCGGGTGGCTTTCTGATTTCTGCTGTCAGCCACAGGGCCCAGAGAACCCGAGAATCCGTCTGCTATGTGATCACTTAAAGAAGGACATCACAAATGTTCACAAAGGAGGCCGGTGCTGCGCCTCCAAAGAGATGGACCTTCCTTTACAGGGCGACTGCGCACATCCTGACTGCTCACGGGCGGAGGCCCTCAGAGCCAGGACAGGGCGACAGACGGAGACCAGGCAGAAACAAGCACGTCCCCACTGGAGATGAGACGAGACGCAGCACGAGCCCTGCGTGCCTCACATCACCACAGCCTTCCACTTCTCCACAGGAAGTAAATTTCTCTTTTCTGAACACAAAGCAAATCCTCTGGGTTTCTGAGCGACAGAAGAGGAATCCCCCTAGGTCAGAGCAGCAGTGTCTATGGGCCCGGCCTTCACAGGGCCTAGAGCCCCACCCACCCGGTCAGCCGCCAGAGCCTGAGCGCCCACTGACAGAAAGCTAGAATCTGCCCGGTCACCCTGGAGCCCACGGGCCAGGCGAGGGCAGGGGCACAGGGCAATGAGACAGGTGCGTCCCCAGGGCCACTTAACAACAGGTGGGCCTCCAGAGGTCAGAGCCAGTGGGACCAGCAAGGGTGCTTTGGAACCTTGAGGTTCTGGAGGCCCACCTGTTGTTAGGTGGCCCTGGGGACGCACCTGTCTCATTGCCCTGCGCCCCCGCCTTCCCCTGACCCATGGGCTCCAGGATGACTGGGCAGATTCTAGCTATCTGTCAGATGCTTGTTACTCTGACCAGATGCTGTGTCATGACCCAGGTGACCGAGGCCTGCCCCCATTGAGCAACAGGGGCTCCTGACCCTAAGGGCGCAGTGGGTCCCCAAAGACCACGGGTTCCCGGGCTGCTCTGCACATGGGCTGAGCACCACCCAGTGTTCTGGTGACTAAGAGACTTACCATGCTGTGCCCACAGCTGACTGTGGAAGGGACACTCAGCTTCACTAAGACGCTTGCCCACGGAGCATGTAAGGTTGTATCGCAGTTGCATCGGCTAAGGCATTCCTCTGCTCCTGCCCACCTCTCTCTGAGAAAGTCACCAGGCCACACCTGCCACCATGTGCTTTGGCTCAGGACGCTTCCACTGCTGTGACCTCGGGTTTGGCTGCTGCCCTCACATAAGAGAGCTGGAGCAACACCTGCCTTTTCTTAAACCCTTCCTTAACCTCGGCCATTGTCTGTAACTTTACTATCTTAAATGCACCCCACAGATGTTCAGATTCATGACGCCTTAATAGTTTCCAGTCCCACTGTGTGCATCCTGATCCCCACCTGTAAGTTATTTTTCAGGCCCAAATGTGTACTTTTTATTGACTTTGTAAACTGCGATCAGGTAATGAGACCTGAATACCAATTATCTGATATTTGCAGGTCTCTGCTTTGAGGCATCTGATGTAACTGCAGAAACAGTCCCCGTGTAGGGGCAAGTGTGCACTTGGAAATTCCTGGATTCAAGGTTTCCCTGAGTCCTGTAAGACCACACACTGTACCCAGCGCCCACCAGCGGTAAAAAGATCTCTGCTGAAGTCTCCCACTCACGTTCCGCACAACCCTACTTCAGCTCTGGCTGTGCCAGGATTTGCTTCCTGCCTTCTGGGATCGCGCCAGGGCCTCGAAGCTCAGCTCTGCCAGCCCCTCTGCAAGGCCCTCCGGGCTCTGCACCCCAGGCTGCTGGCCCAGGGTCTGACCCATTAGCAGCCACAGGGCAGCGTCCTGGCTGGATCAACCCTGCACCTCTGTCCGCCCTCACCCCAGCAGCCTCGGCGCCTTCCTCCTCAGGAGCAGGGCCAGCCGGCTCTCCCCCCAACCTGGGCATCACACATACTGCCACCTGACCTCCACCTCCTGTAAGGACCAGTTGGCTGGACGTACTCTGCAATCTTCTCCTGCCATTCTCCCGTAATTTATAGCTTTAGGTCTCAATCAGATGGGTCTTGCTCCACTGCTTTAGAAGTTAATGTATTTCCATTTCCTTAGCAGTTCATCATAAAGCACACACTTGACCGTCAGTCATAAGACCCCCAAAACTAAAGACTCCCGCTCAGAGGGTGAGTGACCAGGCCTCACCCCCGCTCCCGGCCCCGCCCCCATGCTCAGCTGCTCTGCTCGTCATACTTCTTCTAGGTCGGGCTCCTAGATGCCCTAGGTCGGGCATCCGTGTCCCTGAGGCATCAGGAAGGGCAACCTCTGCCTCTGCCTTCTCTCTTCAGAGAGCTGCCGGTGGCTGGGCATGGAGACCAGGGCCACAACTTCTGTCTGCAAGGTTTCTATAGATCTGGTGTCCAGATTGGTTAATCAATACTGTGTAGGGCTTGTATTTCTTTATGTTTTTAGGACAGGGTCTACAGGGTCTCACTACAAATTGGACTTGTAGTGATCCTCCTGTTTTCAGCCTCCCCAGTGCTGGGATTACAGGCACGCGCCACCACACCCAGTCTCAGCGTGCCTTGGGGGCAGGGCCGGCAGCATGCTAGGGATTGCACCTGGGTCCCTGAGTCTGCCTAGGCAGGTGCTTTAATCTGTTGAGCTATCTGGCCTGCCCCAGGGGCTTATATTTCTACAGGCTGAGAACATGTGTCTCCCTCACTTGGGAAGATTCTGGTAATTTCCGCTGACTCTCACCTCAGGCTGGTTCTGCATATTTTCTCACATGCATTTTATTAGCCATCTACTGGTACTACTTAGCCTCTGTGTTTCTTCCTTTTGTTCCTGTTCTCGCCTTCACTCCATCTGCTTCCAGTGCTCACACACACACACACACACACACACACACACACTCATGCACGCACGCACGCACACATGCACACACCCCATTCTGAGCCACTCACTCTCCACAGTGTGAAACATGGACACACACAGCACACTTGCGGGCCTGGGTTTGAGCACCCAGGGGAGAGACGGGAAACCAAACCTTGCACCAGGTTCCAGTTCCACATGAGAACACACCTGGCTCCGAGTCTGAGTTCTCCCTGGGGACATCGTCATAAATGGCTTCTTCTGGATCTGCAATGAAAGGGGAGAAACTTTCAAGATTGGGCCCAACCAGACCAGCGCAACTTGGGTGCTAGGAGCCCACAGCCCCTTTGACGCATGCCACTCGGGAGGCAGCTGTAGAAGGGCGGGGGGCGCCATCTCTGTTCAAGGCCCAGCGCAGTCTCAGGAGCGAGAGCTGTCGCTTTCAGAGGGTGTGCACTGACCAACATGGCTGCACAGTGGCCAGACGCTGTGCTCACGCCCGCGCCTCCCTAGGGCTGGCCACAGCACTCTCCGCAGGTGCTCTGCTGCTGGCACGCAGCCTAGCCCTTTCCAGATGTTTCCATTTGGGGACAGGGTCCTGCCAGGCCACCTCAGCTGGACTCGAGGTCCTCCTGCCTCAGCCTCCCAGGTAACTGGGATTACAGGCCTGGCCACCATACACTTTCAAGTTTATGAAGCTAAGGTATCTTGATGCACAAGAAGACAGAGGTGATGTGGACATCCCCAGAAACAGAACTACAGCCAAAGAAGGGAGCCATCAAGAAAGGCGACGGCCATAGTGCCAGAGGCTCCTCCACATTCACAGAAGCCAGGGCTTGAGCAAGTGCATGCTTAAGAGGGAGGCTGCAGGCTACACGGGCAGCAAGATGAATCCCCGGGAGGAGCAGTGAGCAGAAGCCCATGACAGTGCGTGTCCATCTCTTGTGTGGGAGACCACATGGATGATGGACCCTGGGGCAGACGGTGGAGCACACAGGGGGGCTGGGCACTGAGTGTCCACCACCACCCCCCCAAGGGCCCAGAGGCCCCTGCAGAGCTCGCCCCAGCCCCACCAGCCAGCCAATGACAAAAATGGAACCCTGGAGGAATGGGGATGGATTCTCCACCAGACACGGAACTGTTGGCTGGGAGCTGGCCAAGAAGGCACCCCATGCCAGCGCTGTCTGGCTGCCCCTCTGCAGGGCTCTGTCCCAACACCAATGCCATCACCACACCAGCACTGTGGCGACCAGAGCCCACAGGTGGCCCTGCCCTCCTGGAAACAAACACTTCCACAGGCACAGGTGCAGGGCCTAGAAAGGCACCAGCACAGAGGAATCTCTACTTCTCCTTAAAAATTAAAAAACACATGAAACTGGCTAACAATGCCCCAGCCTCTTAAACTACGGCAGACCCAGGGCTGGTGTGCAGAGGTGGGCTTTGCCAGGCACCCACCCCCCACCTGTGGCCCTGCAGGGTCGGCGGGCCTCGGGCTGCTCAGAGCATCAGCTGCAGTAGGCCCAGGGAGAGAACCAAATCTATGCTCAGAAGCAGCGGGGAAGGGGAGGACGCAGAAGGTGAGGCCTGAGGGAAGTGGAGGCAGCTCCAGAGGCCCTGAGAAGCCTCCAGGAGGCGGCTTCGGTGAACGCCTCACAGGCGTGGCCGGCTCTTCCACACTTTTAAGTAAAGGAAGCTGGGTGTGTGGGAGGCTGATGCAGGAGGAGCACAGTCTGAGTGCAGCCTAGGATTCGCTGAGACCCTGCCTCAAATTAAAGTCTTAAGAGCCAAGGATGTAGCTCAGCATGAAAACCATAGGTTCAGTCCTCAGCAGTCGTGGCCTGGCCTAGGACAGGAGGTGACACACTGCCCTCAGCGGGCAACACCTGCAGGGGTAGGGGCCCAGGTGGGGCGGTGCCACTCACTGTCCATCCACGCTGTGTTGGCTGGGTCTGCTGCCCACCGGGCCAGGGCGTTGCCTTCCCTGCTACTTTGATCACCACTGGAAGAAAACACAGCATGAGTCAGTGCGTGGGGAAGCAGGCCCAGCCCGGGCCTGGTGCCAGCGCGCAGCGTGGCATGTGCGCTCTGGCGTCTGCCGACTGGAGCGCCTCAGACAGGACTTGGGAGCGCCCCTGGCAAGCGCGGTACTGCCCTCCGCCAGCCCGGCGCCCAGGTGCACGGGCCGGCGCCAACGCCAGCCTGCTCAGAAAGGGGCGGGCCCTCATGCTGCTAGCAGAAGGCTGAGCTGTGCGGGACCTGGGGCGTTGCCCGTTCCAGCACAGGATAATGGGAGGGAGACACAAGGCCACCCACATCCACGAGGGCACCTGGATGCTGGCCAGTATCTTTTGCAAAAGAAAGACACAGTCATATTCACAGGAAAGCCCAAGGTTTACTGTGAGGGAATTCACAAGGGACGGGGCACCCTGAGGCTCCCATGTCCTGCAGGGTGTGTTCCGTGGGAGGGAAGCACCACAAGACCATTGGATTCACGGGAAGATGATTGGAACCAGTGAGAAGCTGCGGCCCCTGCAGCGCGCTGAGACGCTCACGCCCACAGACTCGGCCCCAGCTCAGCCCTGAGTGCAGATGGGGCAGAGGCCCAGAAGGCACGTCCCACTCACTGTCCCTTCTTGGCCTCTGGCACCGCTGGGGACCCATGCCAAGACCCCAGCCTGTCCTCAGGCTGGTGGACAAAGTGGCCCCATGGGACAAAGGGACAACATGTTCCAGGGCCACCCAAATCTTCCTTGCGAGCTGCATGAATTTAAAACTTGGGGCTTTGTTTCTGGGATGCTGCAATCAGTGTGACAGGGCCGTGGAGTTCCCCAGGGAAGCAGCCACAGTCCACGCAGTGGGCGGCCGGGCAGTGGCCAGCTGCGGACAGCCCACAGCAAGCAGGAGGATTCTTGCCAGGTATAAGCCTGAAACTGTGTCTGAGCAAACGCTCCTTGAAAAAGAAGCACCACAGGACCATGAGCAGCATTAAAGCGCCGCGCAAGGCCTCCGCACTTCGGAAGCGCACGCTCCCACGAGTCTCTGAGCTGCCACCTTTTCTGCAGAGGACCTCATGGTGGCCCAGACTTCCACTGCAGAGGGCAACAGGCCACCGATGCTTGCCGTGCAGCTGCGGGTTTTGAGGAAGGGGCTCAGCGCGTCTGCCTTGCCGTGTGACCTGTCCCTGTACCGCACAGGGAGCCCCTGTCCCTGCAGGGTCTTGATGCCTAGAGCCTAACGGGAGCACACGAGCAGGTGTGAGGACCAGGCCAGCAGAGGGCTGAGACGGCACACAGCCCGCCCGCCGCACACCTCCTGTCGTCCCTCACCACCTGCGCTGAGCCCCCAGGGACCACAGGCTGCGCGGTGCCTGGGGAGGGGCTGCGGCTCTGGAGTCCCAGGCAGCACAGCCAGGACTGGTGCGGAGGACTGGGGAACAGAGCGGGCTGCAGTGCGCCAGGCAGCCCAGGGGCCAGACATGGCAAAAAGCACAAACCTAGGAAAACAGAACATGAATAAAGTACCTGTGCGGAGGGTCCGCGGCGCTCGGGGAGTTGAGCTGGTGGTCCTCTGCAACTTCCGGTGCTTCTGCTAGGAAGGACGAGAACCACGATGTTTTATGCCTGATGGGAACGTCTGCGCATTTTTCTTTTGCACAAATCATTTTGTTGATTTTTATCCTTAACGTGACTTTGCATTTCCCTTTGTTATGGTTTGGGCCTAGTTGTCCCCTCAAAGCCTCATGCAGTCATGGGGCGGACTTCTGGAGCTTGTGATTAATTCATGATCCAATGCTGGGATTATGGGTGTGAGTGCTGCCTGGATTAGGGATGTGAGTGCTACATGAGCCCTGGGACAGACAGCCTGGAAGCAACATAAGGAAGGGAGAAGCCACTGCTGCCACTGCTCCTTTTTTTTTTTTTTTTTTTTTTTTTTTTTGTATCTTAGGGAAGGGTCTATGGAGTGTTCAGGGTCCCACTACTAGATCAGACTCATAGTGATCCGCCTGTTTACAGCCTCCCAAGAGCTGGGATTACAGGCATGCGCCACCACGCCCAGGCTCAATGGCTGTCTCAGCATGCCCTGGGGATGGGACTGGCAAGGCAGGCCTGGAGATCGAACCTCGATCCTGTGCCTGCTTGCAGGCGCTTTAATCTGCTGAGCTATTAGGCTGGCCCTGCTCCTCCCTTTTATTCTTGCAGTTCCACTGTTTTCCACCACCATGAACTGTCCTCTTCTGCCATGCAACCAGCTATGTATGGACTGAAACCTCCACAAACTGTGAACTACATAAACCTTTCCTTCCTTAATTTGGCGTGTCAGGTATTTTGTCCCAGCAATGAGAGAAAAGCGACCAAAAGAGAATTTGGTACCAGGAGTGGGATCGTTGCTGTGACTGTACCTGACCATGTGGTTCAAGAGCCTTTGGGAATGGCTCACGGGAAGAGACTGGAAAGGTTCGGAGATGTGCTCTGAAAGGGAAGCACTGAACACCTTCAGCTGTTGTATACCGAAGATTCTGGTCAGAGCTCAGGAGACCGGAAGGCTGATAAACACCCTGCTAGGAAAGACTAGGCTTGAAGGTTTCTTCTGTGAAAAAGGATTGCATCAGCTACTGGACTCCAGATGCTATACTACGGCTGGTCACAAAGTCTGTCTGCATTTTGCTTATGTCTAGAGACTTTCCCTGAGACTGAAATTAAGTGTGGTGGATTGATTAATCTGGCAAAAGAAATTTCAAGGCAGTCGAATGTTGAGATAGTGGTATGGCTATTATCGGCGGCTTTTAGCCAGATTTATGTTGAGAATAAAGAACAAAGAGCCCAGTAGGATGATTTAAAATGTGAATTGGAAAGGAAGCTTCAATAAAGCTGTGGACTGCAAAGACAGAGCTGAGAGGCTCTCTATTGCAGAGAAGGCACAGGAGAGCAGGAAGGAGAGCCTGAGGGCATCACAAGAGGCAGCACATCTCCACCCTTTGCAGCCTCAAGACTGAAAGAGTGAAAGACTTTGCTTTGAGAAAAAAGCTGCAGAGCACCACGTTCCAGAACGGCGGTGTTATAGTGAACTTGCTCCTCAGAATCAGGTTCAGGCTGATCAACAATCCAGGCACTTAACCCCTACAGCCAAAAGAGAAGGAAACCTGGCTACTGCTTCAGCTGGCAGCAGACCACGGCATTGTCCATGTAGCGCTGGTTTTGGGTACATGCAGAATGCAAGAGTTCTGAGGTTCAGAAGGTTTCCACCTAGACTTTAGAAGGCCTGGGAGGCCAGGCAGTGTGCCCCTGGGGGGAGGGCAGTGCGTGAAGCAGTGTGTGAGAAGCCTAAACTGGAATGGAGACCCCATGAGTTTGGAAAAGCCAGGAACATGGGTCATCTAAGGAAAGTCGCAAGGAGGGAGCAAAGCTGGCCTAACAGAAGCCACAGGGGCTACCACCAAAAGTGCCACAGAGGTGGAACCGCACAGGGCTCACAATTTATCACAGATTGTTTCCGATGCTCACTTACTGTTCGCCCTGCTGTATCGTGGACTTCTGTAGATCCCGGTGCTTTGTATCCCCTTGTTGGACCTTTTGGAGTGGTAATGCTTTCCTTGGGCCACTGAATGTTGGAAGTGCTGAACTTTTCACTTATACAGGGGCTCACAGCTAAGACTTTGCCTTAGATCTTGGAAGAGACTTGGGACTTAGCGCTTTGAGCAATTCAGAAACTGCTAGGGCTTTGATAACTCTTATAGACGGACTAAAATTCCTTTCGCATACAGGGATGAACATGAGTCTCTGGGGAGCCAGGGGTGGAAGGTCGTGTTTTGGGTCTCAGTGTCCCCCAAAGCCTCATGCAGCAATGGGCAGACTTCTAGAGTTTGTGACTAATTCAGGATAGCCTGAATGCAACATAGGAAAGGGTGAGAGGCTTGCTCTCTGCCACTGTTCCTCCCTTTTGCTTTTGCTGCTTTTTCTGTTTTCTGCTGTTGTGAACTGCTGCCCCCTGCCACGTGCCACTCTGCCGCCAAGACAGCCAAGTATGGACTGAAACTTCCACAAACTATGAGTTAAATAAACCTTTTGTTCCTTAATTCTTGGTGTCAGGTATTTTGTTCTAGCAACAAGAAAAAAATAATCAAGAAACGCTTTCTTATCAATAATGGGCTTCTGTTAACATAAAGATAACTTTTGGATAAAATTATTTTTGTTGTGGTTTGGGGCTTTTGCGAGGGCAACAATACAAGACACAGTTCATAATATTACTGTATAAAAAATCATATACAAGAAGTGCAAAAATTCTGTCCACACTGGACACTAAAGAATCCAGTTGAGGGCCTAGATCCTAATGTCCTGCATGAGTCCCGCTGAAAACCTAGAGCTCACAACAATGCCCCCCACAAGTCCAGCTGGAGGCCTACAGCCCACAACAAAGTCCCATGCAGGCCTGCTTCACGGATCTGTGCTGGCCCAAAGGTCAGCGGTGGAAGCCAGGAAGTCTGCGCCAGCGGGATGAAGGGTCTGTGCCTGCAGCTGAGGGGTCTGCATGGAGCTAGGAGCCGCTCAAGGTGAGCACAGAGCTCCCCCGAAGGCACCACAGCCTTCCTCAGCTGCATGAGGTCCCGAGCTCCTCCAGCAATGAGGAAAGCCGAGTTCCCATCAGGGAAGCCAACGTGACAAGCTTCTGCACAAGGCTGAGCAGTGCACCGTCTTCCCCTCCAGAGCCAGGAAGCGATGCTCAAGATGAGGACCAGAGCTCCCCCAAAATGAACCGTAGCCATTCTCAGTGACAAGGGCCTGAGCTCCTCCTCTGACAAGAATAGCCAAGTTCATGGAGAAAGCCGACGTGACAAGGTCACCCAACAGAACAGCCCAGGGGAACCAATGGCTTCCAACAGCTCCAACAGCTTCTCCAACAGCTTCCCTATACTGACAGCTTCTCCTGTCCTGCCTCTTACGCTGCTGCCAACAGCCGTCAGGTGGGCCTCCCACACCCAGACTACACTAGCTCAATAGAGCTGGGTGTACGAAGTTGCCCACCAATTAGCTATCCACTACAACTCTGACATAGGACCATAATGAAATGTGAAATTCTTTTTTTTTTTTTGGCAGAACTGGGGATTGAACTCAGGCCCTTGCACTTGCCAGGGAAGCACTTATTCCACTGAGCCATCTCCCCGGCCCCTGAAATGTGAAATTCTGAAGTCTTATAAAACAGAAATAGGGGGCCGGGATGATGGCTTGGTGAAATAAGCGCTTCCCTGGCAAGCACAAGGGCCTGAGTTCAATCCCTGGTTTCGCAAACAAACAAACAACAACAACAACAAAAACCCAGAAATAAAATGCATTGAGACCAGGTGAAAGGCGGCCTCCAGTGCGGCCTTTCCACAGGGTCTCCTGTAACCTGATCTACTGCCTGAGGCCACCTAGTGACTCAGTCACCCCAGGGGAGGGGCGGCTGCAATGACACTGCCCCCACACGCCCTCACACGTGCCCATGTTCCCAATATCGTGTTCACACTCTGCCCACACACGCTCCAGCAGATGCTCTCACGCTGCAGATTCTCACATGCACACTCACGCCCACACATGCATGCTCACACCCGCACCCTCGCAATGCACTCCACCTCACTCACACACAAGCAGCCTCATGAATACCCTTATGTAGGCATACTTCCTCACACTTGCACTGATGCTTGCAGTTCACTCCCACGTGCACACGCGTGCCCTCATCAGCAAGCATGTTCACTCCCACACACATGCACACTCCCACGTACTCAAGCTTTCACACACAGGCTTCATCTTGGTGTTCTGGGAACTGGCTAGCATGTCTTCCAGCCGTGGATGACACAGACCCCACACAGGGGGATGGCTGTGGGCTCAGCTGTCACACACGGTAGTGACCCGCCCACTGGCTCAGGGTCAGAAACACCTGATGCTGCCCAGCCAGTGGCTGGACAGTAGACACCCCTCCCGGTTGGCATTCAGGGACTTGCGTCCAGACTTGTGTTCCGAGGGAGCAACAGCAACACATGCTCAGCGAGCCAGGGTGGATCTGAGGTGCAGCTTGCAAACCTTGCCCTGGGGCAGCCATGTAGCCGCAGCCACGAGACACTCGAAAGTCCTGCCTCAGTGGCCCAAGTCCCAGGCTGACCCCAACCTGTCCAGAGTGGGAGGAGGCACAGGCTGCCTGGGCACAACTCCTCTGCTCACTCAGGAAGGAGACGCAGTGGGAGTACGTCCAGGACCTCTGTGCAGGAAGCGGGCAGGGAGCCGGCACATCCAGGGATGGGCACCCTGTGTGCCGTGACCGCCCAGGGCCTGCAGCCTCCCTGTGTGGAGCTGCTCCGAGGGATCCAGGCATAGATAAGGGGGCCCAGTGCAAAGCCCTAGTGGACAGGAGAAGGGCACCAGCTCCTCAGGCTGGGGCTGGTTTGGCAGAGCAGGGGTCCCCAGGTTCTTCCTGGCTCTTGGCTGACAGCAAAACAAAACAAAGCACTTGTTCTTTTAAAATCATGCTGAGTTATTTCTCAAATAAGCTAATTTAGATGGTATCAAAGGGCCAGCCAAACAGCTCAGCAGATTAAAGCCCCTGCAAGCAGGCGCAGGGGTTCGATCCTCAGCCCTGCCGTGCCAGCCCCAGGGCATGCTGAGACGGCCATTGAGACTGGGCGTGGTGGCGTGTGCCTGTAATCCCAGCTGTTGGAAGGCTGTAAACAGGTGGATCTCTACGAGTCTGACCTAGTAGTGAGCCCCTGAACACCTTGTGGACCTTCCCTAAAGTATAAAATAAATAAATAAATAAGTAAATGCATGGTATCCAATTATTTAAAGTAAGAGTAAGCCAACAGCTCTGCATGAACATTCCTCACCCTTCCCTAGGGAAGGAAGGGCCTCTGCACCTGACCTGCCCCTTCCACAGCTGTAGCACAGGGCAGTACTGAAGGCCACAGCGAGACCAGAGAATGGTGTGCAAACTCTGTGGGAAAGTGACTCCTCCAACAGCTATGGGTCATTTTCTTCAAAGATGGTTTTTTTTTTTTTTTTTTTTTTTTCTCGCTATTGTCAACTAGAAAGAAAAATCCCATACAGAAATTTCCACACAAACATGAACTGCACCCTACGTCTGTACCACTCCTGAGCAGCTCTCCTGAGGCAAAGGTACACATGCAGGAAGAACTCCCACAGGGTCGCGGGAGCCAGGAGCGCAGGTCCGGGAGGCAGGCAGGTTCAGGCCTGGACCCAGCCTGGACTTCAGAGCTGCACGCCCTCACCACCCACAGTGAGGCCTGCGCACGAGCCACGCTGGGTCACGTCACCTGTGCCATGCTGTGACTACAACAGCCCAGCCACGCCAAGGCCCTGGAGGTTCCTTCTTACTATGTGGGGGCAAGGCAGAGACAACCCAGCCTGCACCAGAGCTGAGGACTGGCAGAGCTGTGGCAGGCACCCCTTGGCCCCGGGCACGAGCGGTCATGCACAGCCGCCCCATCACCCACCTCCTTGCTCCCTGCCAAGCATGATGGTGCCCAGGGGTCTCTGGACCCCTTCTGGACAGAGGAAACACATCAGAAGCAGGCCTAGTCCCTTGAGGCCTGCTGTCCCTCCTCCTGACCTCCTCTGTCCAGGGAAGGAAAGACATGAGATAGCTCTGACCAACCACAAGAGCCTGGTTTGTGCATTAGGTTGAAGAGGTGGCAAATGCCACGGACACTATGGCTCCTAGGGCGTGAAGCCAAAGTCACCTGTGCCCTCCCCTGTGGGCAGAGCCTGACCCAAAGCTTCTCCCTAGCCAAGTACCATCAAGGTGGAGAGCGATGTGGGCTCCTAGCCCCACGGGAAGCACAGGGTGAGCTAGGTAGGAGGCAGCATGTACCTTCCTCATCCACCGACTCCATGCGGATGATGACAGGGCTGGAGTAGGCAGGCAGCAGTGCAGGCAGGCTGGAGGGGACAGCGTAGCCACAGGGAGCAGGCACCAAGTACCCGCTGGGTACAGGCCCCGCTACACCATCCTCCTCGGTGGGCGGCTCTGGGGGTGGCAGTGCGTCCTCTTGCAAGGGCGTGATGTCGATGATGGAGTACGGGTTCACCTTCACCGGGACTGTCAGCTCAGCAGGCTCCACCCCTGCCAAGGCTCCTGTTCCACATTCCTTGTCACCCCCTGGACGACAGGACAGTCAGCCACACAGCAGTGAGGGCCCAGGCTCCTCCCGGGACAGACAAAGAGGGGCAGCCCTCGCCCTCATGCACCACGAGGACACCCAGCACTCCCAGGCCTCTGCAGGCAGCCTCAGGGCATAGGGTGAGCATGGGTGGGCAAACCCTGCGCTGGGGCTCTCAGAGGCCTCAGCTGGGAAACCTCTGCCCAGGACAGAGGTGCAGGGGCTCGCCCTGCAGCTATCCAGCCCAGGTCAAGGCACAGATCCCTGGGATGGGAAGACAGGAGCCTTCCCCAGGCCTGGCCACGGAGCCCTGACCCATACAACACAGTGACACAGAGAAGAGGGAATTCCCAGCGGAAAGGGCCAGCACTGCCACTCTGGTGCACAAGCAGACATCCACCAAGACAGAATAGCAGGCAGAAACTCCACAAATGCTGCACCATGCCACTGTAGCCATGCAGAGAAGCCACGGGTGAGGACTCACCCTCCAGGGACGAGCTGGAAAGGCCTGGGGCTGTGCCTCCTCCTTCACAGGCCAGGGCCTGGCGATCCGCCTCTGGGGCTTCGTCTCCACTCTCAAAGTCAAATTGTTCCCCTTCTTCCTCCTCGTTGTTGTTAGTGTCATATTTCACGTCATTTTCTAAAGTTTAAAATAACACCAATTACAATATTGCATTTGTTCCAGGTGGAGGGGTGGGGAGGGCAGCCTCACCTGGGAGGTGGGAAAGCAAACAGAGCAGGTAGAGGAGGAAGGAGGAGAAAAGGCATCGCACACATTTTAAGTAGGTTTATCAGGGACGTAGAAACCAGTTAGAGAACACCGATCCTCAGTCAGGCTCTGCACTGACGGGAGAGGGGAGGTGAGGGGCCTGAGGCCCCACCTGCATGCAGTGGGTCTGCCTGTCCCGTGCCCTGCGCAGGCTGGGCCCTCCGCCGGCCGGGACCTTCCTCAGGGCCAGACAGTTCCTTCCCAGCTGGCTCCTGGACAGGGCAAGGCTGCTGCTGAGCGCCCATCACCTTTCGGAGCAGGCAGCCCGAGCGCTCACACCTGCCCAGGGCCAGGCCCTGTGTGCTCCCAGCAGAGCCTCGCAAAGAAAGCAGCCTCTGAAAGCTGCTTCTAATGCAGAACACAAGAAACCAGCAGCGTGCGCATGCTGAGAGCAAGCACTGCATCTGCTGCAAGCTCAAAGCATCAGCCATAAAACGAGAGTATATATCCTGCAACCAGAACAGTCAGGAGCAGAATTAAAATCCTGTCTGTGAGTTTCAGGTACAGGAAGTTATACACAGAAATACTGGGTGGGAGGCTGGAGAGGGAGCTCAGCAGTCTAAACGCTTGCTTGGGAAGCGCAAGGACTGGGCTTGATCCCCTGCACTGCATGTTGTGCGGCCCACCGAGCCAGTCACTGAGACTGAACACAGTGATGCACACCTGTGACCCCAGCACTAGGGAGGATGAGACAGGAAAATCACTACAAGTCCGAGCTGTGAAGTAAGACCCGGTACCAAATCAATAAATAAAAGATTTTTTAAAACAAGAAATACTGGGTGGACTACATTTACAAAGGATGCTAGTTTTTAGAACTTCCACTTCCCACCCTGTGTTTTCAGGAGAATTTTGTGGGGACAAGGGCAGCATGGTGGCCCGGAGGGCAGGCTCACAAGCCCAGTTCCTCCTCTGGGCTTCCCGCCACCCTGCATGTGTGCTTTCCCGGGGCCCTCCCCCTGCTGTGTCTCCTGGCAGCCTGAAGACTGTGCACAGCCCAAGCCAGGGCGTCTGGGGCTCTGCCCAGGACAGGGGTGCGAGAAAGACTCACACCAGGCCCCTCTCATGTCCAGGCCAGGATGGTGCCACCCCACAGTTCTAAGTTAACAGGCAAGAGGATTCTCATTTGTGCCCAGGATGTGTAGGAGGGCAAAGATAAGAGGGGAAAGCAGAGAGAAAGAGGGCGAGAGAGAGGGACGGAAAGGCACAGTCCTGATCACGAGGCCAGAGCCAGAAAGCCCTCGGGCTTCTCGAGTCTGCCACTGCCGTGGGTCCCGCTCAGGGCTGTCCGGCCTGTCCTGCCCCTTCCCACCCACACTGGCTTTCCCCTGGGCCCCATGTCCCATTACACTATCCTTCAGCTGGTCCCCAAGGTTCCTTGGGCACAGGTGCCAGGCCTCTCCACCTCCAGACAGCAGCAGGGGCACAGGAGTGTGCAGGGCAGTGTGAGCTGTACCTGGGGGACTCCCCACCTTCAGTGCTGGCCCTTGGTGGCCCCTTTCTCTCAAGAGGTGTGAGCCTTCGGGAGATGCTTCAGGAGCACTGACGTGGAGCGGACAATGCCTAGCAACCTCCCATCCTCCCCGGGCCTCGGGCCAGGTCTGGTTATGACACGGTTCTAATTCAAGGTAAGATTCAAACCAAGAGATGTCTGTCTGTACTGTTTAAAATGAGATGAGGATAAAAGCACCCCTCCACAAATGGCTTCACCCCCAGGATATCACCCACCGCTTCCTGGGTGAGGACAGCATGGAGTGACTCCCATACTCCAGGGCATCAGACAGATCAGAGCTTGCAGCCAGCGTGGACAGGGAGCGCCCATGGGCACCAACTCACTGAGTCCCGCGTGCACACAGAGCAGCTGCTCCGGGACATAAAGGGGTGGCCCCAACCCTGCAGGGCCCCACCTTACCTGCAGGAGCCATGAACGGCGGTGGTGCCTCCCCGGGTTCCATGCTTAGACCACAGCCTCTCCAGGATGGTTGGGCAGGAGCCACGGCCTGTCACGTCCTAGGTGGCATGGTCACTCGTCACTTACCACGTGGCACCCTGCAGAAGGAAAGGCACGACAGGTACTTGGCACTGCAGCCCGAACACCTCCCTTGCGATGACACTCGGGCGCATTCTGTGCAGCCGAGGCGAGTCAGCACCACCGCCTGCCAGCAGAGCCCGTCCCTGTCCACTTCCCCTGGGGCCTGCGGCAGAGAGCAGCGTCCTGCAGGTAGAACTTGCGGGGCTGTGCGGGACATACGCAGGAGTAAGAGCAGCACTGGCAGCCTGCTGAACCACCTTCGAGTGAGCAGGAGCTCCCCTCCTGTAGCCGTCCCCACACACATGGTGCTCTCTGCACCCTTCCTTCCCTGGGAGCACCCCAAAACTACAATGAGAAAAAGCGAGACACAGCTGCTCATGAGAGGCCCGTCACCAGCTTCAAGGACGCCATCCTAGTAGCTTATGATCTGGGATGACGCCTACTAGGTTCCCACACCGTCAGGCCCCTGCAGGGGCCACCCAGCACTGGCCTGGGCTTGCACACGGAGCCTCCAACACCACCACACGACCTGGGCCCAG